CATATATTAGAAGCACGAAGACGACCAAAACAGAGTAGACCCATTCCACAATGAAGAGGGAGAAAAAGTAACAGAAAAGATGGGAATGGCAGAGGTGCTTAATGACTTTTGTTTCAGTTCTTGTCAAGAATATTGGTGGTGACTGGATGCCTAACATAGTGAGGGACTGGTGAAAATAGGGTAAGTTCAGATTTGAATCAAATCTTGATGTGCAGATCTAAAGAAAATGTGTGATATATACTACCACACTGCTCATAAAGTACTAACACTAGAAACTCAATATGCCAGTCCAGAGGTGAGAAGTTATTCAGATATTATTAGTTTTATTTTTACAAACCTATAAAATGAGAATAAAAAACATTGCTGGAAAAAATCCAGTATGTCCTGTCAACCTTACAGTCCCAAACCTAGATTTTTCCCTTCAGTATCCTGTAGAGCACTGGTTTTCAAACTTTTTTTCGTGTGACCCTGTTGAAGAAGATTGTGTGCCCAGAACCCAACAATTATTTCTTTTGACTAGAGAGCAGGCTCCAACAGGGAGACAGGGATGAGAAGTTTGGAGTGCAGGAGGGGGTTGTGGGTGGGGGAAGGCAGGGTACTGAGGCACAGGCTTACCTCCGGTGTATCCTGGTCTAAAGCACAGTGGGAGCATAAGGTAGGCTCCATGCCTGTCCTGGCACTGTGGATGGTGCTAAGCTCCAGAAGCAGTCAACAGGAGGTCTGGATCTCTAGCAGAGGTACACAAGTAGCTCTACATGCTGCTCTCATTTACCAGCATCACCCCTCAGCTCCCATTGGCCAGGAGAGGTGGGAGGCTTGCCTTAGTATCCTGTTTGTCACTTGGCTACCCTATAGCACCCTGTTTGTCACCTGACATTCTGTGATCCAATACCAGCCCATACTCTGAAAACCACTGCTCTCGAGTATTAAATTTCTCTAGTGAAGGAGAAATTTCCTGTAAGAGGCTACTCCACAAACTGATAGATTTAGCTGATACACACATACAAGCTGTTTTTACACAAACTGTTTTTGTATGTACAAATTACGTTCAGCATTTCATTTTACTGTATACAAGAACATATTTAATCAGCTAGTGTGGAATTGTTCAAGGTGTGTATGTTTACAGCTAGGCAAATATCCTATAGTAACACACTGCAAGAAATAAGTAAACATGACCTTTGTGAGGACAAAGATCACACTAGGCATAGTACAATCACAGTAAAAGACAGCACAAAAGTATAGCTTAGTCTCCAAATCGTTCATAGTCAGTTATGATCCATTCGTAACATGCGCTAGCCATTGATTTCCCAAGCCCCAGAATGATTCATGAACTGGGGAAAGATATGCAGTCAAGCTGCCTAAGTGGTGTGCAGAGCCTGATCCAGTAGTGTGCTCAGATCCTGCTTGCTGGATCAAGTCCTATTCAAAAATCTGGCTTGAGGAGGACATGGTAATGGTATTACCTACCTTTAGCCCAGTGGTGAGAGGTTAATTTATCCCCCTGTGCCAGAGTGTGAGAAGGGGACCTATTCAAACCCTGCATCCTAAGGGTTTTTTTTTTTTGACTAACGACTAGGATAAAACTATAACTTGTAACTCTATGAAGGAACTATATACAATAACATATAAAGTCTCTCTGTCTCTGTAGGAAACAGTAGTCACCAGAGAGACAATATTCCGTCCGTGGCCAAGGACGGTCAGGAGGAACTGGCGGGAGCTGGACCAGCGCTGCTCAAACGGCGCGAAAAGCCACGAGCCGCACTTCGCGCATGCGTGGTCCGGCAGACTACGGCTAGAAAGATCTCCGATCTGCGGTGCCGGGACAAGCCGACACCTACAGTGGAGCACCCACGGGACACTGCTCGAAGAAGAATAGCTTAATTCGGCTTTTAGTGCTGTCTACACAGCAGGAAGCCAAAGGAAGAACACTTTTCCTTCGACTTCTGTATCCCCTCATTTCACGAGTAAGAGAAGTTGGAGTAAGTCGTTCTCCAGATTGACATTATTTCGAAATAATGGTTTGCAATGTAGATATGCTTTGTTATTTCGGAATAATGTCAGTTATTCTAAAATAATACTGCTGTGTAGACTTACCCTTAGAGAGTACTAGAACTCTCTGATGTAGGTCTCTTAGGGTAAGTCTACACTGTGTGCTTATTTTGGAATAAGCTATTTCAGAAGAAATATTCTGAAATAGCTTATCTACACAGTAAAAGCCCATCAAAATAGCTGTTAGCTATTTTGAAATGCAGCATCCACACTGATTGGACGCTGAATTGTATTTAAGGCCACCCGGCTACACTACAGGCAGGGCATTAGTCTCAGGTAGTAGCTCCAGGAACTAACTGCTGTCCTATCTGAGGCTCGTGCTTAAAGGGACCCCGTGTATAGCCGTGTCTCAGGCTCCTCCCTTTCGCCTACTCCTAGAAGGACAGCAAACCTATTCCTTTGCCTGCTGTGGTTGCCCTTGCACACACCTCAGCTCTTTAAACATGGAGCTGGAGCTTCCTCCTAGCGGTCAATGGCTCTTATCTGCCGTGTCCCTCAAGGCCCTGCAGGGATGCAACCCCCAGCTCCACACGGAAAACCTCATCATCTCTCTGCAGGTGCAGCTGGACCCCCACCATACCCACCACTTCTAGCATCTGGACACCAGTTCCGACTGGTGGGACTGGCTTATCATGGAGCAGTGAGACGACCAGCAGTGGCTCCAGAATTTCTGCATGCAGACGGACAGCTTTCTGGAGCTCTGTGAGTGGCTCACCCCTGCCCTCAGGTGATGGGACACCCAGATGAGACCTGCTATCCCCCTCCAGAAGGGGTCACCATCACCATCTGGAAGACTACCATGCCGGACAGCCATCATTCTGTGGGGAACCATTTTGGTGTGGGGAGATTAACTGTTGGGGCCCTGGTCATGCAGGTATGGGGCTCTTGGGTATTGTCCCAGGAAGGGGGGGGGAAGAAGTGCTGGAAAGGGATACCCGAAGGAAAGGGGGGCTGGTGGTGGTGGAACCTCCCTGGAAGGTTTTTCAGTCCCACCCTCACAAAGCCCTGCCAGAGGATGGGTTAATAGGGGGTTGCTCCTGGTCTGTGGAAGGGGGGACGGGTTGGGGCCTTCCAAGGGGTCTGAAAACCCTGTTTGTCTCCTTTGTGGCAAAGTCCTGGCTGTGCCCCATGGGTCTCGCACTACTGGCAGATAATATTAACCTCAGAGACTCACTGTGGTCCTATACACAATGCTTTTCTCTTCACAGGAAGCAGGGTCCACAGCTTAGTGAGCCATACTCATCACAGGTAAGTCCACGGTTTTGGGGTGAAAACCCCTTGGTAGTCCTGGTCTCCCTTCATGGGAAAGGCTCTGTGTTGGCATGGGGGGAAGATTTGGGGGAAATCTGAGCCCACCTACTACTCTGGATTCCATCCCAGGGATCCTAAAGTAGCAGTAGCAGACAAAGTTGTTTTTTCTTTCAACTTGGCAGCTTTTTCCCTGGGCCACTTCCCCAAACAAATGCTCCAAAATGTCCCACTTTGGTACCTGTTAACCAGCTCTCAGCTCAGACACAGATTCTTCTTGTTCCTGCCTTTCTCCTTCCAGTCCATCACTCTTTATCGTCCTCCTTGCCTGACCTAGGGCAGGCCTTTTAAAGCAACTCCACTAGCTGTAATTGGCTGTAGGTGTTGAGTGACATGCCTGAAGGAGCAATCTAGTTAATTAGCCCCAGGTGTTTTCCTGCCTTCAGTTTATTGCAGCAGGCTCTATTAGTTTACTCTGGAAAGAGAAAACCACTTATCCAGAGTCCTGTATACCTGCCTTCCACCAGAGTGTGGCAGGCTTCTGGCTTATGTCTGTCACACCTTCTACAGGTGGTGAGGGCCATCAACAGCATCCTGCTGCACAGAGTCATCAACTTGGGTGACATAGATCCCATTGTTGCTGGCTTCGCTGACATGAGCTTCCCTGATTGGAGGGGGGGGGGGGGGGGCAGAGAGAAGAGCTATTAAAGGCACTCACATCCGCATCCAGCTCCCTAACCATCGGGCATCTATATACATCGACCAGAAGGGGTACTTCTCGATGGTTCTGTAGCCATTATGGACCACAGTGCGCAGTTCACTGACATCTACATCGGCTGGTCGGGGAAAACACCTGACACCTGCATCTTCCGCAACTCCAGTGTCTTCTAGAAGCTGCATACTGGCACTTTTTTCCCTGACCACACCACCATCAGGGTCGGGGCATGGACATGCCGCTATGCATTGTGAGGGACATGGCCTACCCTCTGTTGCTCTGGCTAACGAAGCGCTACATCGGACACCTTGACCCCCATCAAGGAATGCTTCAATGCTAGGCTCAGCCGGCTCACATGGTGGTGCAGGGTGACTTCGGGTGTCTGAAGGCACCTGGCTGGGCACTGGGGAGCTGAACATCCCCCAAGTGGTGGCCACATGCTGTGTCCTTCATAATATATGTGAAAGGAAGGGGGACGATGTTCCTTCCATGGTGCGGGGCAGAGGCCAGCTGGCTTAGCAGGGCCTTTCAGCAGACGCACACATCGGCCATCCAGCAGGCCGATCAGGTGGCTGTGCACATCTGGGAGGCCCTGAGGGAGGATTTTTCACAAGGACCCCAGTGACATTCTCCCCAAGGCCTGCCCACAAGGAGTCTGTGCATTGCCCCTTTAGCCTTTCCTCCCACACCCCTCCATGCCCTCCTCTCCTGCACAGTCAATAAAACAAACTTTTTTGTTTGGAAAAAATAAACTCTTTTAATAGGGGTAGAAGTAACTGGGGAGGGACTGGGGAAAGAACCTGGGAGAGGGCAGAGAGGGAGGGAGGGGAGGAAAATCTGGGAGTGGGGAGGAGGGAGCCGGAAGAGC